TCATTCCATCACAATGTCTTCCTATTATGTACAACCTGCTAAACTGGATGGCTGGATACACTGAAACCTGATTCCATTGCCTTTCTAGAGGGAGAATAAAATGTCAACAAAACCTTGAGTAAACATATCTTGTGCAAGTTTCATAAGATAAAAAAGTATCAGAATGCCATAGAGCATGCCCCTTCTTGCAAATTTATCGTTTTAAAAGTGAGTCGCATAGACTTCTCAGAGATCCTGAAGAAGAATGTACAAAGCTCCAGTCCTTAGTTCAATGTCCCTGCATAACTGAGAGGCAACTATTTGCAATAGTAACTGTTTAGTAATGATCTTTTATACCTTTGAAGTGGTGCTATTCTAGAGACCAGACAGGGACCATGACAATTGTTAGCTTTGAAGGTCCTATCTTCAACTGAAAATTATTTGAAAAGAAATGGGAGGGGCAAATTTTTCAACAAAAATTATTGAATATCCTTCAGTCTTCAGCCCCTCAGAATATGTTACTGTATATATCCAAAAGGAAGATGACTCTGATTTGTGATAGTTCTCCCATACCATCACTCAATTTATCTGTCTCAATTATTGTATTGTAAGGTAATATAAGACCTTTCTCCTATTATAAAAGTAATTGGGGGAGGGGGAGAAAAAATCTATTCTTTCTTCTTGGTAACTATTTTTTAACCACAATCTTGTACACTATCTCGAATAATTTCCAATAGATATACCAAGGTTTTACTGCAAATTAAAAATGTAGAAGTTGCATTATTTGAAAATATGTCATCCTGATTATGCTTTCTCTAAAGAAACATGTTAGGGGACCTTTTTTAAAGAAACACATTACAATTCTTGGTCCTATTTTCATGTTTGTTTTTAAGATTCATATTCTTAACATACAGAAATAGACTTCACAACTTAGACACAGAAAGGAAAGCTCAGATGGTCCTGCTACAGTGGTATTCTATCCATAACATTTGTTCCTTTGGAAGGCAACAAGCTAACAGGTGCCAACAGATGAGCTGCTGTACTTGTGCTGAAAGGTATTCTGTGAAGAGGAGATTCATATTTCCTCATATTTCAATTAGAGGCTCGTACACTCCTAGCCAGAATTATAGGTCACAAAAGTCTCACCTATTTCTCTTTGTGTACAGTACATACATTCAGACAGAGGCCTTCTGGGCTATCAGTCAAAAGGAGCTACACAATTACTTCATTTATTTCTCAACTTTTACTCAGAAAAGAAAAATTATTTAAAAAATTATAAAAGAAACAGTGAGAAAAGGATTTCACATGAATGAAACATATCACTGGGACTTTTTGAAAAGTCCCTTGAATCAGGTCAGTCATACAATAAAAGAAGTTGAAGTTTTCTTCACTGGAAATACCCAGCTTGATTCACAGAACTCCTCCTGACAGGATGCCATACACAAGGGAAACAAAACCAGAAAGACATTTAAATATCGTGAACATTATGTATAACACCATGGCTTAATAAGCTGCATAAATGTAGGGGAAAATATTTTACTAATTTCTTTTTTATTACTTCAGCAAATAGATTGAGCGTTATTCAAAAACTTTGATTTTTAGAGCAGACTAATGTGTCAAGAGGCCAATTTTTTTCAGACATAATTTTTCAAAGATTTTAAATCTTTCTTGGTTTTTAACCTTAAAAATATATCTCGTAATGGCTGTAGAAATTTTTCAAAATAAATTATTGGAACAAAAGTAGCTGAGGTAGAACAATCTCATTTACAAAACAGAACTTTATTTCACATTTTCCCTTAAATATGCTTAAATCCCTGTGCACCCCCTCTCATTGCGGTATAATCTCTCAAGACTGGTCTTCTAGAACCCATTCCTAAATCAAATAAATTAACAGTAGATATTATCACACAAAGGAATTAATCTGAAAAACAGTTTCATTAGTATGTTAAATGAAATATATTTAATTTTGAAAGAGCACATTTGAAGGAAAAGGGATGGGTACTCCGAAACCCAGATTCACACCTTTTTTTGTGCTCTGTTTCCAGGCATTTATTGGCCAAAACCAAACATCACAAACTAGAACATTGTAACCAGCATTCAAAAAGTATTCAAAAAAGGTCAGGACTTACTTTACAAGGTTATATGGCATCAACGCAGCAATTTCCATTTCAATGTTAAAATACTCTCCTGGGAATAAATTAGAGTACAGTCCACCCATTAGTCATAAAAAAAACAAACAGAAGTGCAAAAGAAGCCAAATTTCGCCCTGGCTTTTATCTGAAGTCAAAGCACTTCTAAAATAAATTTATCCCACAATGTCACCCATTCTGTTTATGCTTTAGGGAAGGACTAAACCAAGGTTCTCCCTTGCTTCTGCAGCACCTGGTTCTCTCTCTCTTATATACACAAAGATGTACATAACAAGCCATGGACATCATCCACTTTGGTGGGCCCAGCATATCTGTCTTAGCCCAGGGGTGGAGTCAGCCTTTCCAAATAGACCAGTGGTCAGTTAAACTGTTTTTACATTTATGTAAAGCTACATTAACAGAATCTTGTAAGTCTGAAAGTACAGTTCTTCCGCCCTCTCTCTTATGGGCTGAGAAACTAGGGAGGGTACCTTCTGAGCCTCTTCCGCCACCAACTTTCCAATTACAGGCTATGTTATTTCTTATCTGACTATTCTCTAGGCAGCGCCTTTCACCCTGTCTCCTAAGGTCTTTCCCACAAATCATTATACTGTAGATGGATGCTGGACCTCTTTGCTGCCACCCTGAATATCTGCCATTCCGGGTGACCTTGGGGCTCCCGTTGGTTGAGGGGACTTGTATTTAGCCTGTGCAATCCCTGCTGCATAGAAGCTACTGGGGTGCTGATTCCCCCCAGAGACACAATATTAGACCTATAATCCTCCCAGAGTCATTGATTGAAACAGTGGCTATAGAAATTGAATAAATAGACAAACATTCCCAACATTCTTAAGGAGAAACCAAAGGACTTGGCGCCTCTTCTCTTGGGGGCTCAGGGATGCAAGAGGGGACTTCCCAACTCCCACCCCCATAACAGGTGCAGGTAATGAGCGATCAGCTCTATTAACAGCTGCAAACCTAGGTCAGATGGAGAAGGAAGGCCTGCTTTTCTTCCACTTTATCTCCTGCAGCCACCTTGGATCTAGCCTTAACTGTAACCTTTGATCTTCCACCAAAGGACATCGTTGAACTGTTGATTTTGAAATCAAGGAGCTACCAAGACAAAAGCCCCACAAACCTGTCAACATTGGCAGCCCACGCTACTGTATATAAGCAGGAAGCAAAGCCCACATTCACGAACACTGTTGGCATTACCCAATGAGGGAATGAAAGGTCTGCCAGTATATAACCCAGCTCAAAGAAGCACCAAGGACTTCCCCAGTTCGGCCCTGAGCTACAGATATTCTCTTCCAACAGACCCATCTCTCGCCCTCAAGGAGACCCGGGGGACCCGGGGCCTGGGCCAAGTGCCGAAGAAAACAAACGTGCTGCGCGCAAATTGCCAGGAGGTAAATTATTCAAACCAGGAAGGGAACGCAGCCAACCAAGGACCTGGACGGAGTAACTCTTTCCCTTGCTTACGGCTCCTCAGCCCAGCCCGCGGGCGGAAAAGGAAGCCGGGGATGTAGTCTGCGGCAGCGCAGGGATGGCGGAACCGAGTTGAGGGAGTCAGCCTGGTCTTCCTCCCCCTCCACCCGCCCTTTGACTTCCCCTCCGCCCAGCCTGCACCCCCAGGGCGCAGCAGCGAAAGGGTTAAGCGATCGAAGGCCTGCGGGCGGGGAGGCGGCCGGCTGTCAGGAAGGAGCATGTGCAGTTTGCCTTGCAACCGCATCCACGCTATGGGTTCTCTTCATTGGCACAGTTGATCTTCGGCCGCGGCGCAAGAGCGGCTACAAAAAGAACAGCTGCCGGCTCGCATCCATCCATGGAGCTGAGGCGGATGAAGCGCTGCTGAACGGATCCCAGCCGCGGCGCTGCGGCGAGCAGGCACCTGCGCTGGGCGGCCCTCCTTGCGTCCCGTTGCCCAGCGTCACCCGGGTAGGTACATCCGCAGAGGCCTCCTCCTTCTTCTCCCCCTCCTTCCTGCAACGCGTGTGGGTCGCAGATGCTCGGAGGCGGAGGACCAGGGCGCACGCGATGAGCGCCGCTCGGGCTTCCCCCTTTGACCCGATGCAACTCGCAGCCCCGGGCAATCCCGCGGGAATCCGCGCAAGAGGAAGAGAGAGCCCAGCCCGTAACAAAGCGAGGAGGTGCTTAAGGAGAAGCGGAAGGCGAACGGACAGTTTTCCTCCGGCTACCCTTCTTTAGCCGGATCCTGCTTCTTAATCGCTCCCCAACCTCCCATCTTCCTGACTCCGTTCCCGGCTTCCGATCCGCCAAGCCCCCGGCGGCCTGGGAAGGATGCTGAGCTGCTGCATCCTGTGTGGTGGGCTTGGCCTGGAGCGGGCTCGGAGGGTTTCGGCCCGAGGCTCTTTGGCGGGCGCGCTTCCCACCCCCCCACCCCGCGGGAGCTGGGAAATCCCCGCGCGTCTTCTGCGCTCGGCCATGTGTATCGCGGGGAAGCGGGGAATCCTCTTGCTCGCACGCTGGCGTAGCTACTTGCGAGCTTCGCGTCACGCCTAGGTATTTCTTGCCTCTTCCAAAAGGGTTTACTTGAACGCGGTGCCCTCCTCCAGTTGTCTCGCACCCTTCCCAGGCGGCGTGGTCACCTCCCGCTGCTGTGGGAGGGTATTCCAATTGCTAAATCCTCGGGCTTCCCTCAGATTGTCTGCTCCTCTATTTTCCCTGTCATGGATTCGACTTTATCTCCCCAAATTCTGAAGAGCCCCAAATAGGGAGGATGTGCCTTCCAGCTCTCGAGATTGTTATTTCTGATCCTACTCGTCTTGCCCCCAAAATCATGTTTATAAAACTTATTATACCCCCCCCCCCCCCCCCAAAAAAGAGCATTGGGCGCATTGATTTTAATGTCAGTCCTGTGAGACAGGCTGGCAAATGGTTCTTCCCATTTTGTAAATGGGAAGCTGAGGCTAGAAGAAAAAGGTAGGAGGTCACTCTTGAAGCAGATCTAAGCATTGTTCTCTCTTAAAATTCACAAGCTTTTTGCAAGCTTTATTTCCTCAGTTTCTAGCTCACAGCTCACATGGTGTATGTCTCCTATCTAGTCTGCCCACTTTGACAGTTAAGGAGTTCCTTGGCTGTCTCCTATCTATAAAGACACATGTTCCCCACATAATTCAGCTAGTGATCTCCAACATGCTATTATACTTTTAATGGATTTTGATGTTACAGAACATGAAGTCTGTTCTCTGAAATCGGTCGTGGTCCTTCTTGCTAACTCCTACAGCAAGATTTATTAGATTGTACAGAAGCATCTATGAGTCCTTGGATGTTTAGGGAAAACTCTTCCAACATGATGTCCTCCAAAGTGTTGGATTATGCCTGGCACTCCATAACCAGCATGCTTTGGTAAGCTCTCCAGAGATTATATGAATGGTAGTGTCACATATCTTGGGTGCCAGTTATAAGGAGGCTGCTGAAGACAAGAGTTTTCTGTACATCCAGTGAATAGAAATTCTTATCCCAGGGGTACGGGGATATAAATTAAGTGCACTTGGTGTGGGTATATCATGTGACGATAGATTTGACCTAATCTCTTGCACATCATACTAACAATGTATATTTATGTAACCAGTAACTATTTATTCATGTAATCAACTGGATCATTGCATTGAATATTGTTTAGGGGATGGATGTTAAAATATGCCGGTGTTGATCACTGTGGAATTTATTAAATAATATATGACACAGCCTCTGTAAGCTGTGTTCTTTTTATCATTAGCAGTATTATATTTATACCACACCAAAAGCCAGGAAGTTTTTCCTCACTTGCTGTGATCAGCAAAACAAAAGTATATCTTCCTTTTAAAAGTTTAAGCTGAAAAATACAGTTACGGACTAAAGTTGAGTGAACAGAGAAGCATTACTTTTACGGTTTTTCCTGGTTATTCCTAAAGGGGAAAACATCACTAAATGTGTACCAGCATCCCACAGAAAAATGTATTTTATTGTGTGACCAAGAATCTTGTGCTGAAACTCGTTGGACTGTATTGATTGAAGCGGCCAAGTTTTTAAAATAGTGATGATAATCTCCAGCACTGAGGAATAAACAGAACCTTGGGTGGGAGACTGAATGTCCTTCTACTTGAAGTAACCTTCTAACCCTATGAAATTGTTGCATTTTTGTGAACCATTAACTTAATAAATATCCAATTCCAAGAACAAGTTTTCTGAGTAAACTGGAAAACTTAAATACAACAAATTACTACAACATGATAATTTTATTTTCTTCAGAAAATTTTATTTACGCAAAAAGAAGAAACTTAATTAGGCCTTCATATTTCCTTATTTGAAGCACAATCAATTCTGTTCCTCTTTTTCATGGAGAGAAATATTGCAGTTGAACACCCAACCTTAGGAAATTATTTTAAGCCATATGACTTAACTAATGAAGTTTAAATAGGCATAGACCGCATATATTGAAGTCTGTTATAGCTAGGAAATGCAGGAAGGTATTTAAAAAAATAATATGAAATTTATGGAATACTGGATTAAGTAGTTATTACCATATTGTCTGATTCTGTTCTTTTCATTATTTGTTTTTTCGCCCATGATTTTAAGCAGAACCCTGATTAAATTTAGTAACCTACGCAAGAGCAATTTTGATCTTATATTGTGGTATACTTTACTTCTGTGGAAAAACTATTGGCCATCTATGTTGCTTGAAATTAGAAAAAGAAATCCTTAACTTTAGAAATTTGCATGTCACAAGGCAATATTTTTCTACACTGAAAAAGAAGAAAGTGATACTGGCAGTGGGTTAATTCCATAGAATCTATGATGCAGTTTTTGCTTTCCACATATTTTAAATAGTAAAAGGATTGGTTAGTATGTATGACAGAAAGAATAAGTAGAAAGGGTAATTAAAAATGTATGTTTGAGACAGGAGAATTTGGGGAGAAAAACATTAGACTCCAGTAACAGTAGTGTATAAAATACATGTAAGTGCTTATCCAGCCAAGTTGAAGCCTTTTTAGCAGAAGCATTCTTACTTTCATTCTGGTTGGAGAGCACCTGCCTTAATTTCTAGGAGTAGCTCTTGAGAAATAACACAGTTTGAACTTCTTAAGGTTTACACCCAGATGTGTCATATTGTTAGTATAACTCACTTCCTACTAGAAGTACACATGACATAATCCTAGAAGTAGGAGGGTTTTATAATGGCTGAATTGCAGAACTTTGGAAGTCTGTTTATAGACTCACAGTAAATGTATTTTAAAGTTAAAAAAAGAAATCCTATCAGGGATTTTTGTTGTCCTTTATTGACTAAAACTGGATGGAGGAGCAAAGTAATAAAATTTATAGACTTTCTCGAAAACATTGCTAAAAAGCAGTGGATAAATACATATTAAAACAAACCTGCACAAAAGGACAAAATATCCGTGATCATAAAGCAAGTCCTGCAATGGAATCTACTGGATTCCACCGTGTTTCTCATATAATAAGGCCGGGTCTTATTTTTTTGGAGCCCTGAAAAAATGGCTAGGCCGTCTTTTCAGGGGTGACTTAATTCCCCCCCTTGCATCTTCGGGCGGGCAGGCGGCGATGGCTTGGATGTTGACCTCGGCGTTGGTGGGGCACTTCGTATCGGGGTCAACGCAAGCAGCACCATATCCGGGTGTGCAACAAAAGTACTTCCTAACAGCAACCATTCCCCCCATTTTGCATGTTTTAATATAGCCCTTAATTTGGGGGGAGGGGCTTAATTTCATTTCATGCCTATAAAACATGCTGGGACTTCCTATTGGGGGAGGCCGTATTGTTGGAGAAACAGGGTAATTCTAATGGAATCCAATAGCATCAGACACTTTATTCAATGCAAACTCACGATTTTTCCCTTTGAAAAATAAAGAAACAACTATCCAGTGTGAAAGGAAACAAATTTCAAACTACTGTATGATGTTTGTAAAAATATAAGCCACTGGCTTGGCAGTCAACAAAGTTTCATGGTATACAAACTTGCTGGAGTGATTTTTTAAAAGAAGGGAATCAACTTTTAACATTTGCATTTTCTGAGTTGGCATATAAGCAATTTTAATTTCTAGCCAAATGTAAAACTTTCTCTCCCATTGCTGCTAAGCTGCTCATTCAAAGCAAGAAAAGGAATTTGGTGAATAAAATACTGTGTGAGAGTGCATACATTCTTATTTCATTGTGTCAAATAGAGTATCCAGGAAAAAAAAATAGCATTCCTACTAATGCATGGGAAGCATTTGTATTTACATCTCACCTGATAGATACAGCTTTAACTCTTCCAAATCTTAGAAACTGAGACTTGGTGCAACTTCTTCCTTTCTTGCTTATGTTTTGCATAATTCTCAGCAGCTTGTCCTTTACTGACTGTTAGGTTTGAACTATGGATTTGAGCTTTGACTTTGGCCTCCAGTCACCAGGAATTTTCTGTTCTGTAATGAACGGGGCTTTTTAAATCGGAAAACTATGGCTTAAATCTGATATTTTACCCATAAGGGCTTTCGTAAAAAAGCGTAAATCATTGGTGCTAACCAGGTTCCAGAAAAATTTTGATTAAAAAAAAAAATCTTACCATTGGTTTTTCAATTTTTTCTTCTTCTTTGAAAATGTGTGGTAGAAGGTGCTAGGTTGGGAAAAACTGGTTAAAAGGATAGAACATAATAGTGAGCCCAGCTACTACATCTTCTCCTATATATATCAGAAATGGGAAGCTGAATAGTACTTGGTGGGATTAGAACAGTGCTTTTTGTCCATTTCTGGCTGATGGGAGTACTCCCTTCCTAATTTTTGTCATCCTGTCTCTTGCATAATAGTTGGATATAGTAGTGCTGTGCTTGTGGTTCTTCAGAACTGACTAATAACACAAAATTGTTCAGCCACCAGTACCATAAGTGCTTTTATCTATGTCCTAGAAAAAGGCTGAACTGGAGTAACAAGCTGAAATGATGCAATACTGAAGGGGTAATCTTGTTTTCTCCTCCCTATATTTCCTTCTGAAACCTCACAGTAGAATCTGGAAGGTGACAGAAGAAAAGGAAAGGAATACCAGATAGAAATACTGCTTATAATTCAGCTCCTTTTGTGATTCAACCTTTTCATCCTTGACCGTTGAGTTATACTACAGTGGGGAATAGGAAGAGTGGGAAAAGAACAGGAAAGCATCTAGACCTACTTTATCTCAATGCAGTCAATATCTTTTTCCATCAGCTGTTGACATACTGGTGAGGGAAGACAGCAACACTAGAGGACTCTACCAAGCTCTCCTTATCAGGCACTGCACATGCATAATTAGGAAAACACTTCTTTTTTTCTTCTTGTGCCATATCCATCATTGGACGTTGGCAATCATGTTGGCAACCCTATTTTTATCAACAGCCCTACAAAAAAGTGCTGTTGAGTTTTGTCCAAACCAGTCCCTTAGATTTTGAAGCCATGATGTTCTTCTGACTGGACCTCGTTTGCCTTCAATCTCTCCTTGGAGGATTAAGTGAGGTATGCTGTATTTTTCTGGATGTCACATCACATGTCCAAAATATTCTAACTTTTGCTTTTTTATGGTTTTGATGATTTCTCCCTGGCTTTCCCAGGCGGCTTATTACCTCCTCATTTTTGATTTTGTCAACCCAGCTTATAAGTAACAGCCACCTGTAAATCCACATTTCAAATGCTTCTAGTCTCTTCAAACGGCTTTCTGTCAGAGACCAACTCTCCACTCCATAGAGCACTGCTAGGTGGACCAAATACAATAGAGGCTAGATAGTAAATTGTATGCAAATATAGCCTTCTACAAATTCAAGGATGGATGGACAGCACTTTAACTGAGCAATATGGAAAGGCTTTTAATCTGTAGATGATGGTTATAGAGGTAAGTCATTTTTTGCAGGTCAATATGTGGTGTCGGGATTCAGCCTTCGAGATAAAGGAAAATGGTAACTCCTTACAACTTGTAAGAGGGCATAGGGAATGGCTGGGAAGGACTGGAGAAAGCGCCGATATCAAGGCATTATTCAGACATGAACCCATTCAAAGAAATTGATTTGTTGACTGGGATGTTGAGCAAATGTCTCACACAGGCCCCTCCCTAATTTGTACAAAGATAAATTGAGGGAGACTGGGGGCACATGGAGACTTGTCAGATTCTGTTGCTATAGCTATACTATAAAAGTACTTCTAAACTTGGATGGCGTTGATTTCTTAGACTAGCCTATGAGTGGTGGGATTCAAATGTTTTTGCCACCAGCTCGGTGGGCATGTCTTGGTGGGCACCCTTTGCATGCATGCACACACTGTGTGCACGCACGTGCCAAACGCGCACTTTGTGCAGGCGCAGAGGCGTTCTAACTCGCCTCCTGCAAGCCTGCACAATCCCGGTCGCTTCAGTAGCTGCCGCACAGCACTCTTCTGTGCCGCGCAAAGCAGCTGCACTTCAAATTCAGCAGATAGAAGTGAGTATGGGGCCCCTGGTGGGTGG